TCAGCGTCCCTCATATGGTGATGATGATGATCCTGATGATGATCATGATGCTACTGATGATGATGATTAGTATATAAAAACATTATATATCAGCACCTCTGGCCTCCTAATCCTAGAACACCTCCTAGCCCCCCTGTACCAGGACATTGTAACTCAGAGACAATACCTACCTAACCAACGTCACCCATAGCTGATCTCTTCTCGCCACCTAGCAGCCCCCCCCGGTTCGCCACTGGATTGCCTTCCTCCCTCGGCAAAACCCAGATCTCTCTACAAGGCCTCACGCTCCTGCCATTTGCAAGTTACAGGGCAACACCCCAGCTCCGGCCAGCGTCGTTCTGGCATTGGCAAACCTAGGGCACAGAACAGAGCAACTATGCAGATATCAGTCCTGGTTCGACCATCCCCTATATCCCGTATGTGGAAGGAGGCTAGATGTTGCCTAAAATTCCAGAACACCACCTATCCTTAAAACCGTGTACAAATGTTTTGTGTGTGCAGCTTGGGTCGTGTGGGTTTGATCCGTAGGTCTAGTGCTTAGAAGTTTTAGGGTCGTCTGTAGGTGGCCATACATCCTCTGAAAGGTCAGTAGGTCGTGGCTAGAGTAGTTCCTGAAGAGTCATCTTGACCTTTCAAAGTCAGTAGAGGCATCCCGTCAAATCTCTGAAAGGTCAAGAGTCCCAAGTCAACCCCGAAGGGGCACATGAAAAGGCAGTCCCAGTCCAGTCCGTTTGCAGCAAGTACCAGAGTGGGGACTGCACATCTTGAGGGCCTGGGACATCGGCAGGCCCAGACCACCAAACGAAACAGTATAAATAAAGAGGCAGCGATCAGTCATTCACTCATTATCTGGGGAACTACGTGGAAGCGCTGCCCGAGTGACTTGTGCGTTGAGTTCACCGGTGGTGAGCAGGTAGCCCAACAGTGGACGAGGGCGAGTGGCCATAGGCGCTAGGAGGAGAAAGACGACGGCGGCCATAGCCACCTATGTATAGAAGTTAGGGGATAGTGTGTGAAGCGTGAGTGCAGACATTCAGGGTAGATCCAAGTGTTGTGTACGGACGTGCGTGTGAGTGTGTCTGACGGTGGTAACAGTGTTCGGGTGAGAATTCCAGACTGGCGCTCAGACACCATAGCCATGAGATGTGACAAGTTGTTTTGAGCTGAGTTCCTGGCCGAAAGCCATATCTCTGAGTTTTTGTGTGGGCGCACTGCGCCATCTCAAGTCTGTTGCTGATTCTGCGTCTGTGGAAGTTTCTGTTGTCATCGCCAGCTGCATGTATGCATGTTGAATGTGAGAAGAAGAGAAGTCTGATTGCAGTGGTAACAGATCTGGTTCCCGTTGTCTGCTCAAACATCACGGAGGTTGAGGAGGAGGAAGGACCCTACTGACATGAAGAAGGAGATGATCATGATGATCAGAGAGAGGCGCGTGTGAGGGAGGAAGACCGCCATAGCAGACGGCGGCCATAGCAGCCAGCTTGGAGAAGAAGAAGAATGACGACGAAAGAGAAAGTGACGGGAGAGAAGAGAGAGGTGACAAAGAAGAAGGTGATAGCAGCCATAGCCGGCGAAGAAGAAGAAGCAGGGCAGATAGCGAACAGGTATAATCAACACCAGTTCTATGGAGGGCTGGCATTCCCCCGAAAAAATCGAATCCACAACCGACCAAACACCACAAAAAAAAACACCACACATGTCCTTCGACGCGTTTCGGCCTGCGCATGCACAGGCCTCTTCAGGAAGGTCTTTCCTACTGATCAGTGGATGGGCTAGCCCACACACCATCTTTATAGCTCAGAAAAAACGACTTCTCCCACGCTTACCTCTCTCCCTCACTCCCTTTTCCTCATGCTTTATCCCAACGCTACAGCCATAATCCCTCCACAACCAATCGGTGCGTCGTCCAGCCCACCTCCCATTCCAAAGTGACACAGTAACACAGTAGAGGAGCCCCATAGTGTACACGTGCAAGAGACCTCTGCACTCACAAAAATCGGCGCATACGTATCCAGCGAGTTCCCACCAAGAGGCCGAGCGCCTTGTTCTTGGGTCTGATATAGTTGTGCTGCCACTGGTCGGAACCCGTCAGTCCCTACAGTACTGCCAACGGTTACCAGTGGCCCAAAATGTGTCCAAAAAAAGGGGGGGAGAGACGGGGCCCAAAGAAAGCCCAAAAAGCCCAAACAGGAGCCCAAAAAAAGCCCAAAAAAACCAAAAAAACTTTTCCCACGGCCTATCCGTAGGTACCACAAAAACAAGTCCTATTCCTGAACCGATGCAAATCTGGTCCATCCGGCCCTTCCTATGCCAGAAGAACCACAACAAAAAAATTGATGCCACCGGGATCTCCGATAGCTCAGTGCTATTCCAACGTACAACAGATCGATCCCACCCATCCTCGTAACACACGGCACGACACACAGGAGATACTATCAAAGGGAAGCAAGTCTCCAGTGGGGGTAAACCTGCGAGATCAAAGATCCCCAGGGACCTCCCA